CGTGGCGCTCTCGAAGGCAATGGGCAGGGCACGCAGGCAGGTGGCATGGCTGGAGAGGCACAGGGCGATGCAATACTCCCGCAGGAACGCCCGCCGCTCTGTCTGCTCCTTCAGCATCAGCTTGAGGACTACCGGTGACCCTGGGAAACGGGGTGGGGAGCCAAAGGGGGGTCACCACCAGCTGGGACACCGAGGTGGGCAGAGACAGAGTCTGACATGGGGTGGTTTGGGCAGAGCTGGGGTTTGGCTCGGGTTTAGCTGGGAGCCCTACATCTGGGGAGCAGGTTCCCCTGGCCAGCAGCAGGGTCACCCTCCCCGTCCATCCCCCACCACCAGCGCCCCTCACCACCATCCCGGGGCTCCGTCAGCACCACACGGCCGTAGGTCCCGCTGCCCAGCTCCTCCAGCACGGCATAGTGCTCCTCCAGCTCCTGCTGTGGCACCTCCCGGCCCGTCTGCGCCATCAGCCGCTCCAGGAACTCCTCATTGTCCTCCCCGTCCTCGTCTGACTCCTCCATGGGCCCTGGGGAGAGCCAAGCCCCCCATGCTGCTGCAAAGCCCCACTGTGCCCAGCCCCTTGCATGGGGAGACAGTGGCAGCAACAGCCTTATGGTGCCAGGACAGCTCAGTGTAGCCCAGTCCAGTTTAGCCCAGCTCAGCCTAGTGGAGCCCAGACCAACCTGGTCTGAAGCATCCCAGTCTGGCCCAGTTCAATTCAGTCCAGTCCAATGCACCCGAGCCCAATCCAGTCCATTCCTGCCTAGTCTACTGAAGCTCGGACAAAGCTGGTCCAATCTTCTCCAGCCCAGTCCAGTCCAGCCCAATCCAGCACAGTCAAGCCCAGTGCAGCCCCGCTCAGCCCAGCTCAGCCCAGTACAGCCCAGTCCCACCCCAGGGGCTCTCCCCATGGTGTCCCTGGCCAGGATCAAGCCCTGCCCCTCTCCCTCAGGCACTGTGCAGATATGGGGGTCCCAGCTGGTGGGAAGGTGCAGTCCCATGCCAAGAGGTGATGGGAACTCCAAAACACCCTTGTCCAGTGGGGCTGAGAACCCCTGCTGGGAGCAGGAGGGGGCTGGGACACTCACTCCATTGAGCCCCCATGTCCCCATGTAGGAGGGAGGGTCAGCCCCACATCATACCCCAGAGGAGAGACAGTGAGCCCTATAACCCCCCAGAGAAGGGACAGGAGGTTCCACATCACACCCCACATCACCCCATGGCAGCAGTCAGGGGTCCTTCTCTCCACCCTACATCCCTCCCATTGCAAGGGGTCAGGACTGGCTCTCTCCCACTCCACATCCCTCCCATTGCAAGGGGTCAGGGCTGGCTCTGTCCCTCCCCACATCCCCCTATTGCAGGGAGTCAGGGATGACTCTCTGCTTCTCCATCCCCAGCCCTGAAGCAGGACCCTGGACCCTTCTCCCATCCCGCCACCTGCAGCCACCTGCTCCGGCACAGTCACAGCAAGGTCACCACCGCCACTGATATGTCCAGGTGTGCAGGGCTAGGACAACCACCCTCTTCCCCCTTCCCCCACACACACACCCATTGCCATGGGGCTGAGCCAAGAGGGCCATGCAAGCAAGCCAGAAGCAGAAGGCAGGGTTGAGTGTCCCTCAGGGTTGCATGGGGACAGCCGAGCAGCCCAGGAGCAGTGCATGCCTCACCTGTGTCCCCTGCCGTGTGTCCCAGCAGGGTCGGGTGCTCCTGGGGCACGGCTGGGTGCCCCCGGCCCCACGGCCGCCCCCAGCACCGGGAGCTGTGACTCAGACTTTCCTGCCCGCTCCCATGCCGCCGGCCCGCGCTAATCTCTGCCACTCGCGCGCAGGGAACATGTGTCAGCCCCAACGCGTGCCGAGGGCCAAAGATAGGCAGGAGGCAGGACAGGCAGGGCATTGCATGGGGGGACAGACAGACAGGAAGATGCTGGGCATGGGGGGCAGACAGACAGGGTAGAGCTGGGAATGGGGGGACACACAAGTTGGAGCTGAGTATGGGGGGACAGACAGATGGAGTGGAGCTTGGTATGAGGGGACAGACAGGTCATTGCATCGGATGACAGACAGACAGGATGGAGCTGGTGATGGGGGCTGAGCCGTGCTGAGCCTGGTGGGCTTGGTGCACTCAATGAAGGGTGGGGAAGCAGGGTGCAGGCCTCTTGGCTGTCCCTCAGGGTGCTGCTCTGCACTGTCTGTCCCTGTGCTGTTTGTCCAGCCAGAGAGGGGGTCTGTCCCTAGCACCATGCTCTGTCCATCCATCCCTGCAAGCTATCCTCCACACTGTCAATCCATCCATCCATCCATCCATCCATCCATCCATCCATCCATCCATCCATCCATCTATCCCACACAGCGCTTGGTCCATCTGTCCCCACATGCCTTGCTTCTTTATCTTCGCTGACCCTGCCTGTGCTGTCTGTCCATCCCCCCATGCCGTGCAGCATTCTGTCTATCCTTGTCCATAGTACTCTGTGACAGCTGCCCCATGCCACCTGTTTGTTCCCGCCCATGCAACGCTCCATCCTGTCCGTCTGTCCTTCCTCGCAGTGCTGCCTCTCCATCAGAACAATCTGCTCTGCTTCACCAAGCTATGCTCCTCGACGTCTGTTTGTCCCCGTGTGCAATGCCCTGTCTGTCCCCCCACACCCAACCCCATCCTGTCTGTCTGTCCCCCTGTGCAATGCCATCACAATGTCATCCCACAATACAACCCTAACCATGCCATGACACAGCCCAGCCATGTCATGACACAGCCTGGTCATGTCACAACACAGCCCAAACATGCCACGACACAGCCCAGCAATGGCATGACACAGCTTAGTCATGCCATGGCACAGCTCAGTCATGGCATGACACAGCCCAAACATGCCATGACACAGCCCAGCAATGCCACAACACAGCTCAGTCATGACATGACACAGCTCAATCATGGCACGACAGAGCCCAGCCATGCCATGACACAGCTTGGTCATGGCACAACACAGCTTGGTCATGCCATGATATAGCCCAGCAATGCCACAACACAGCTCGGTCATGCCATGACACAGCTCAATCATGGCATGACAGAGCCCAGCCATGCCATGACACAGCCCAGCAATACCATGACACAGCTTGGTCACGGCACAACACAGCTTGGTCATGCCATGATATAGCCCAGCAATGCCACAACACAGCTCGGTCATGCCATGACACAGCTCAATCATGGCATGACAGAGCCCAGCAATGCCATGACACAGCTCAGCAATGCCATGACACAGCTCAATCGTGGCATGACAGAGCCCAGCAGTGCCATGACACAGCCCAGCAATGCCGTGACACAGCTTGGTCATGCCATGGCACAGTTTGGTCATGGCAAGGCACAGCCAGGTCATGTCATGACACAGCCCAGCAATGCCACAACACAGCTCAGTCATGCCACGACACAACCTGGTCATGCCACGACACAGCCCAGTCATGCCAGAACACAGCCCAGCCATGCCATGACAGAGCCCAGCAATGCCACAACGCAGCCCAGCCATACCACAACCACACGCCACCTGCCCCCCCATTGCCACAGCCCCCCTGCCCCCACAACCATGTCCCAGCACAGCCCCACCCGCAGCCTGGCCATGACGCCTCGTCCTGGTGCGGTGGCATCCCAGGACGACACAGCAAGTCACGGGCATCCCTCCACCTGCCTCAGTTTTCCCTCTCCAGTGCCACCTCCCTGAGGGGACGGGGGGACCTGTTTTGTCATGTCCCTCCCAGCCACACAGTACCTCACACCTCTAGTTTCACCCACCTATGTGCCAGCCGGCTCCCACAGGGAAGTGGGGCAGGAACCGGGAGCAAGCAGTGGGTGTCAGACCCCCAGATGTGGGGCACGATGGTTTGGGGAGAGCGGGGGGACACCAGTCCCAGTTGCTGGCCCGCCGTGATCCCCAGGACTGAGGCATCATCCCATGGGGCTGGCACCAACCCTGGAAGACGCTGTCCCTGCGCCGAGTCCCCTCCGCCACCGTCCCCAGCGTCCTCAGTCCCAGCCACGCCACCCCCGTCCCGTGTCCCCGCTGTCCCCCCCCCCAGCTCTGACTCACATCTGGGCCCCCTCGGCAGGGCGCGTTCCTGGGGTGTCTATTTTAGGATGGGGCTGGCAGAGCCCAGCTGGTGGCACACGCACCCGGTGTCCTGCCAAGGAAGTACCGGCCGAGCCGAAATGCGGCGGTCAGCTGGGGGGGGTGTGTGTGTGTGTGTCCATAGAGCCAGGGGTGCTGGGGGGTCTCCCCAGGTTGGAGTGGGTGAGCACAGCACATGAAGGTTGGGGAACCCTGCTCATCCCTCTGCCTGCACCCCAGGGCTGTGTTTGCCCTGTGCCCTGAAACTGTGCCTGCTCCCCTCTGCCTGCACCCCAGGGCTGCGCCTGCCCCAGCATCGTCCCTCTCCCCCAGTTCCTAGGCCAGATCCCTCTCTCTCTCTCCCAGTTTTCAGGGCCATACCCTTCCCTCTCCCCACTTCCCACAACAATCTCCCTCCCTCTCCCCAGCTCCCAGGGCCACCTCCCTCCCTCTCCCCACTTCCCATGATCACGTCCCTCCCTCTCCCCAGTTTCCACAGCCATACCTCTCCCTCTCCACATTTCCTGTAATAATACCCATTCCTATCCCCTGTTTCCATGACCGTCTCCCTCCCCCTCCCCAGTTCCCATGACCATCATGCCTCCATCTCCCCAGCTCCTACAACCATACGTCTCCCTCTCCCCATTTCCCACGACCATCTCTCCCCATTTCCCACAATAAGACCCATCCCTCCCCCCCCCGTTCCCCCGGCCCCCCCCCTCCCTCTCCCCTGTTCCCACGACCATCTCCCTCCCTCCCCCCATTTCCCACAGCCACCTCCCTCTCCCCAGCTCCCAGGGCTGTATCCCTCCCTCTCCCTCCCCACCTGCTCTTCCCCCCATCCCATCTGCTCGCAGGGCCCTGACCCTGGAAGGTAATTAATACTTGACAGCACATTAGCGGGACCTGCTTGGCGGGCAGCCAAGGGGGGAAAGGCCGTGCCCACCCATTACCCCCACGGGGACCGGGGGCTGTTCCCAGGGGGGTGTCCTCCCCCAGCCCCCACCATGGGGCAGCAATCGGGGGGCTGTGTCCCCCCTGCCCCACTGGGGACCATTCCCCAGGGTTCGGCCATCCAGCCCCGCCAGCACGTCTCCGGCCTCAGTGGCATGCGGAGGATGTGGGTGCCTGTCCCTGTCCCTGTCTGTCCCCCCCTCCCCGGGGGGGGCCTTTGCTGGCCGGCATCCCAGGAGCGTGGGAGGGAGCGTGGTGGCAGGGCCATGGGGGCGGAGGGACAAACAGCTGCGGGGGCACCGAAATAGCCAGTGGGAAGCCAGGCCAGGTGGCACCAGCTTGTCCCTGTCCCCTTCCCCAGGGCTGGGAGGAGCACAGCCTGGTGCTGAGCCCCAAAAGCCACTGCCCCGTCCTCACTGCCCCTGACCGCGTCCCCCGTCCCCCTTCTGTCATTGCAGGGGGGGATGTGCCCCCTTGGTGTCTCATTGCCCCACGCCCTGCCCCTCTGCAGCCCATGGCCCCACTGCACCCACACCCTCTGCACCCATAGGTCCCATTACCCCACGCCCTGCCCCTCTGCAAGCCCTGGCCTCTGTTGCCCCATGCACTGACCCTCTGCCCCCCAATCCCATTGCCCCACTCTCTGCCCTCCTAAGTCCCACTGCCCCACGCCCAGCCCTTCTGCCCCCCAACCCCCATTGCCCCCCTTCCTGCCTCGCTGCCCCACCTGCCCCGGCCCCCCACCTGCCTCCCAGCAGGGCCCAGCCTGGCCCCTGCCCCACACCATGGGGCAGAGCTGCAGGCAGGTCCCCTCCCCCGGGCTGGCACGGTGCTGGGAGCAGGACAGGTGGCTGCGGGATTAGAGCTAACGAGCTGTTTCATAACGGGGTCGAGAGGCCACGGGGGGAGCGTGGGCAGGGGGCCAGGCTCGGCTCAGCTCCACACCTGCGCACAGGCACCCCATGGTGCCCCATGGGGCTGGGCGCCCACATCCCCAGGCACGGGCGACCCGTGCTGCCCTGTGGAGCTGCGTGCCCACATCCCTGGGCACAGGCACCCCATAGTGCCCTGTGGGGCTGGGTGCCCACATCCCCACGCCCAGGCATGGTGCAGACAGATGCTCAGTTCTCCACATTTAATGACTGGGCTGGGGAACAAGGGGCAGGATGTCCTGCTGCCACCCGCTGCCTCCTGTGGGGTGCTGTGCGTGGGGTCCCCCATGGGGCCAGGGGCTGCCCAGGGAGGGATGCAGGAGGGATGCTCTGCAGGGGGACATGGTGGCTGTCGAGATCGGGGGCTGTCTGAGGGCAGAGCTGTGGTGCTCAGGCATCCTGCAAGGACAAAAGGATGACCATGGCTTGATACTGCCCTGCCAGGCCACCCTGGGTGTCCCACGGTGGCAGGGGAGGGTCCCAGACCTGGCAGACCACACCGACGTCCTCCTGGTGGGTGCAGTCATGGCGTCCCCAGGCACGGTGGGCGCAATCCTGCAGGGTCCCCTCCTGACCCCGGCAGCGGACGTCGTCCAGCCAGATGCGCCCAGTGCCTGGGCCGAAGTGGGGCCGTCCCTGGGGGAGGTCACCGACTGCCTCCGCTGCCCCGCAGCCCAGCTCCTGGCAAACCACCGCCGCATTGGTCCCGCTCCAGCCGTCATCACAGACTGTGCCCCACTGCCCAGCGCGGTTCACCTCCAACCGCCCGGCGCAGCGCCTGGGGCCATCCACCAACCGCAGCTGGAAGGGCTCTGTGGAGACACCGGGGTGACGCCAGCCCCATGGAACCCCCCCCCCTGCTAAGGTAGCATCGCCCCACCCTGCTGCACGCTCACCCTCACACTCGACGGCAGCCACCCGATCCATGGGGCAGGACGATGGGTCCCCTGGCTGGAGGACGCAATGCTCCAGGGCCAGCTCCTGCCCGGTGCACTGCACCTGCTGCAGCACCACCGGGGAAGCACCGGCTGCCTTGGGGCCACAGGGCGCTGGGATGAGGCGCGGGCGACCACAGCCCAGCTGGTGGCACAGCACCCGGGCAGCTGCCAGATCCCAGCCCTCGGCGCAGATGGAGCCCCAGGTGCCGGCGAAGAGGAGCTCCAGGCGCCCGGCGCAATGTGAGCGGCCACCCTGCAGCCGGGCTGGCACTGCTGCGGGGGAGAGAAGGTGTATGGCACCAGTCTGCCCAGCACAGCTCCAGTCTGCCTAGCACAAACCCAGTCTGCCCAGCACAAAGCCAGTCTGCCCAGCACAAAGCCAGTCTGCCCAGAACAAGCCCAGTCTGCCCAGAACAAGCTCAGTCTGCCCAGCCCAGACCGAATTTGCCCAGCATGGCTCCAGTCTGCCCAGTACAAGTCCTGTCTGTGCAGCACAGCTTCAGACTCTCCAGTACAGCCTCAGTGTGCCCAGTCCATCTCCAATCTGCCCAGTACAAACCCAATCTAACCAGAAAAGCCCCAGTCTGCCCAACCCAGACCCAGTCTGCCCAACTCATCCCCAGTCTACCCAGTACAAGCCCCAGTCTGCCCAGTCCAGCCCAGTCTGCCAGTACAAGCCCAGTCTACACAGCACAGCCCCAGTTTGCCCAGTACAAGCCCTCCTACATGTGGTCCATGCCCCAGTGCCTGCCGCATCCCGTGGTTGCTAACCCCGCGCCCCCAGAGTGTCACCAGGGGGACACCCAGGGGTCACCGGGGGACAGCAGGGGCACACCCAGGGGACCCCCAGGGGACCCCCAACATACCAGATCCAGCTGCGATGCCACAGCACAGAGCTGAGGGGAGAGAGGGAATGGCTGGGAGTGGGATCCAGCCCTCGCCCCACGGACACCCCCCACCTCACTGATCCCTCAAACACACCCCACAGACACGCCAAAACCCCCCATACCCCACTGACCCCCAACACACCTCCCACAGACACCCCACACCCCACTTTTACCCCCAAAACACATCCCGCAGACACCCCACACCCTGCACACCCCAGTAAAACCCCCAACACATCCCAAGTGCAGCCCCAGCTCTGCCCCTCCAAGTTCACCCTCAGATCTGTGCCCCCCAGGTGCACCCCCCAGCCCTGTGGCCCCCCAAGCCC